GGTACGGAGCATTTCCACAACCAGGCAGTGGTTTGCTGTTCACTGCTGACATTAAGTCCTCATGCAATAGAGATTGCAAAAGCTTTGGCATTTGCAACATTGAATCACCTACTGGCAACAGAATTGAAGACCAAACCACTTGACAGCATTGCTAATACAAGTATATTTGCACTTCTGAAGTACTATGAGCCCGTGAATGAGCTCAACTGCTACGTACTTTATATTGTTATCATGCTGTTGGATTTCTGCCTTTCGGGAGCTTATGTTGAAGATAATTTAAATTTGGTAATAAGATCTCATGTATCTTCTTTATATTGTAGGATTTTAAGTTCTCACAACAGTTCTTAAGCACATTGGTGTAGTGTTATAATTTGCATTATCTGCAATAAGTAAAGGATATATTATTTGGAAGAGACTGTGGACCTGTCGTCTGACAGATTAATGATGAATGAATGAATATTATTTGTTATATTTTGTGTGTTTCACATTAATTTACTTTTTATACTCACATATGCCCCTTTGATTGTAGGTGTGTTCACCCTGCCTGTGTAGTTGTGAAATGTACGTACAACACATGGAACATAAATATACCCAGTCCTAATAATACAGCAAATAATTGTGCGTGCACACACACACACACACACACATACATACAGAAGTTTTACCCTTTTTCAGCTTATTGAGTAACAGGATGTGTAGATGTTGCAGTTTGAATGCAAGATGCAGAACACCCTGAACTGTGTTTTTTGGAATATGTAATTGACTTCTGGTCTGCTGGAGGAATTTTTTGGTTGTGCTAAATTGAATGGTTGTTGACAACATTGTTGTGATATGCTTGGCCTGCTGGTGAGTTCCTTCCAAAAGCTGACCAGTTCTTCAGACTTTGATATCACTGGCAGGTAGCATTACCACTTGGAACATTCCATCTGCATGCCCACCAATTTTTCTTCAAATATTGACTAATTATTTCTGTTTCACATACAGGAATACGTATTCTACATTCTTCTGTGGTGGGGCCATAATTCATTGTTATTCTTACGTGTTCTCGTATTGCGAATTCTTATGTATGCACTTGAAGGACACACACGCATACTAAATCTGTATCAAACTTGGACATACACTCTGTGAAAGGGAACACCTTTTATATCTATTAAATAAATATTAATAAACAATACTATGATACTTAATTCTTGGATAGTATGTATAGGGAGGAAAGCTGAAAGATAATGATAGTTTTAGTTTACTTTGAAAGTTTGTTTGCAGCATTAAAAATAATGAAAAATGTAAACAATATCAACCGCCTCTATGGTCTAGAGGTCAGAGTTCCTGGCCACAGATCAAGAGGTCCCGGGTTCGATTCCCGGCGCTTCCAGATTTTCTGAGAAGTAGTGGGTCTGGAATGGGGTCTGCTCAGCCCCGTGAGGATAAATGAGGAGCTGTTTCAAGGAAATAGCACCTCAGATCTAGAAAACCAAGATTAATGACCGTGGAGATTCATTGCTCTGACCACGTGACACCCTCTATCCCCTAAAGTTGGCACTAACTTTGCTGACAAACAGTGGTCGCTTAGTCGGTATAGTTTGCTTCCAGACTGCAGACTATGTTTTCTTCTTCTTCTTCTTCCCCTTCTGTAAACAATATGAGCCTTCTCTATATGCACCTGGTTGGTTTTCATTGTCCTTTAGATAATGATAATATTGTGACATGTTTAACATGGCTGCTCCACTGATAGAATGCACCAAAGAACAATGATCTGTGATCTGGATTTTCAAGAATGGTTTATGGCTTAACTAAAACAAATTTTTCATAATGGATCAGAAAATGTGAACCATTGGATCAAATGCATTGAAAGACAGAGCAGTTATATACAAAAATAAGATATGTTGAACTGGTGTGATTGTCATGACAAACTAATAAGGGTTTTAACCCTTCCTGGTCATTGCGTTTGGAAAAATTTCTGCAGCCAGGTCATCAAAGGATTTTAAATCTCCGCAAAGCCATTAAGGGAACTGTTTTGCTCGAAAAATTGGTGTGACAAGGGCATAAAGTGGAAAAGCAAAATGTATACTTACTGGCACAATGTAAGAAGACAAATTCTTTGCTTTGTAGTGGTCAAGTGTGGAGAGAGGTAATAGTGTTTCATTGGCTCAGATTGTCTGCTGTTCTCTAGTACAAAATATACACATATTCCTTTCTACTTATAACTGTCACTCTTCTGTGTACACAAACAATAAAATCCCAGTAAACTATGGACCTACACTAAAACTTTTTGTAGTATTTGAGAGTGAGATATCTTTCGAAACATTCCCCAGGACACATGGCTAGTTCATTTGTGCAGGTCTTAGAATAGAGATGTGTTCCTTTTATAGTTCCCTTGACCATACATTTGCTACACACAGTGCAGTCTTTGTGTTTCTTTTTTTCATAATGATACAGGAAATGAAGTGCTATATTTAGTCTGTCTTCTCTCTATACTTACCCCAGATGCATCATCCAGAATATCTGCATAAAGCAAACTCTAGACATTACTTCACCAAAAATTATATCTTTGTTGTCCACTCACTAGAACAGTGTCTTTTATATCGGGTAATGGCATTAGGCCCATATTTATAATTAGACTTAAAAATGTCTTCACTTCAGGAACTGACACATCAGACCAGCTACTCCAAATGAACCTCGGGCTAAGCTGAAATTCCGAAATTTTGTGTCTCGCATACCTGTTTGTCTCTATAATAATGTTATTCAAAAGCTCATCATTGAAAAAAAAAACTAAAATAATCCATGGGCTCTGGATCTGCTAGAAGGTTAAATTGTAGCCCTGCATTTGTAATAAATATGTATGCCTTAGGTTTCTCGTCACCCATCAACATGCAGCACACTTGTTTCATTCTCACTGCCACTTTCTGACATTTTATCGCTCAATTTTTCACTCGCAGTTTCTTCTACAGCGTCCAAATCGATCTGATCATCAGAGTCTATATAGAGTTCTTCAGTTAACAAAGCAATAATTGATTCTTCATTCTCAACACACACTGCATTATATTTCGGTTTTTTAATGCCAGAAGGCACATTTGTACCCAAATGCGAAACCATTCTGCTAACACTGATATGCAGCAGTATATAAATGTTATTAGTTCCTCAAGAAGTTCAAATTATGACTTCCAGATGGCGGAAGGCAGCAGACAAAACATACATAAATACGTTGGTATAGTATACAGTGCTAACTAGCGACGTATGATCAAAATATGACTGGAGAAAGGCGAAAGAAATATTGTCAATCATATATCAACATTTGTCCGTGTAAACACTGGCACCATGTCTGTTATAGTATATCAACATATGACCAGAAAGGGTTAAGTTTTGTTGCTCACCTTTTCATTGCCTGAAAGATCATTTTATGTATGAGACATTTATTTGATGGAGTCTTTAAAAGACAAAATAAAGAAAACACTGTATATTTTGTATATAATGAAAGCTTGTTCTAGAATAAAGCTTACTGTTGTGTAATCAGTGTATTTTAGCAACACTGTTTTTACTGTATTTGAACTTTATCTGATATACAGGAAAATCTCAGTTACATGGTATCTTGGCTGAGCAATTTGGGAGGCAGAATTTCTACTGCTATAGATTCAATTGATACTACAGTCATGAAAGAACTGATCAGTCGATGCCTGTCAGATTGGCGCATAATGAAAGTTGATAGAACTTATGTTGAGCTTACATATGGTGATCAACCTGCCTCATTATCTAGTGACATCAAGCAGTAAACAGCATATCCATATTGTTTTCTGCAAGTTGGATGCATAGGTGATCCAGCAGTGTGTTACATATTGAAGTTAAATGCAAGACTAATATAGTTCACATGTTACAGATACTCGGTTATAATGTCAGTGAGTATGTCATAGAGATTGTGCAGAAACTAGTTCAACAGGAGAACAGCAGTGCAGTATTGAATCAGTGTACAAACTTTACGTCATCAGTTATTCAAACATTTTGGCATGCAGGTGGTACAGTAATAGCAACATCAGTAAATCCTGGAACAAAATTGTTTATTGAAGTGTATGTTCACATATGGTGGTTTATATATTTATTTATGGTCTTAGTTAATAATACTTTAAATATCACATCTAGCATCATGCTGCCACCACCTTGCAATGTTTTATTAATGTCAGAGGTTACAAACCTTTGCTGGAGTGGTGAAAAACAGCATATTTCTTTGTATTTAGTGTATTTTCTAAAATGCAAAACAGCAAATTGCACCATCTGCTTTTTGGACAGCTGAGATGATTATATCAGCAGTGCCCAGTGCTACAAAACTAGTAACTCAAAACTATTGTAAGACACTGTCTTTTCCTGTGTTCTGAATGCTAGATTTTAACCTATACAGGGGCCAATATCCTTGGTTCAAGTTTAATTGTATTCTTTTGAGAGAGTTACAGGTTGATCCTTCTGTTTCAGCAAATTTTGAGGTGAAGAAAGTAAACAATTCATAACCATAATTGAATGCTTGAAGAAATGGATCAAAATAGAAATGCTGCACCACAGAGTAAAAGTAGCACTTTTAAAAACTGTTACATATATATATTGCCAGTTGGGCTTGGAAAGAAGATAATGACACTGTTTCAAACACAAATTGCAAATCAAGGTGGAATATGTGTTTCAAACTTGGCTGCAAGCAGTAGTCTTACACATATTGTACTAGAAGATTCCATAGTAAAGGATTCAGAACGAAGTCTTAAATTGTTGCATGGCATGCCTGTAGATATTAATAGAAAAGTCAGAGTGGTGGGGACACAGTGGCTTAGCAAGTGCTCGAGAGAACATATGTATGTGGACACAAAGGAATTTGAAGTATCTTCTATGATAAATGTAAAAGACAAAGTTAACACACAGTATAACAAACAACCATTTCATGAAGAGTATGGTACGAATGACAGTGAAGATCCAGACCTGATGAAACGTGACCTAGGAGACTTCTGTACCTTCACAGTGGAGCATTCACCACCTAAGAGACTGAAACCTGAAGTAATAGAGGTATGCTGAAGTTCTCTTGCTAAGAATGAGGTAATAATGGATGTTGAAATAAAAATAAACTTTATTTTACCTTCATTAATTCATATATATTTTGTGATATGTTTGGTTTCTGGTGCCTCTAGATATGGACTGTTTGTTTTTTCTGGCCTCTGCTTACTCTGTGATCTTCAATTTACATTTTTTTCTGTATTGAAAGTCTTGCGTTCTATCAGGAAAGTGGAAAGTTGTTCTCCCCATTATATCTTCTGTGTAGCAGAACCATTCTTTCTAGAAAAATGGAGAAATAGTTTCAGCCAATTCTTCGTAATGTTTACTTTTCTGTTCCAGCATTAGAAATTTGAAAATAATTCAAATGTTGAACCATAAGTGAATTTTAATGTTGGTTTGGTTTAAATTTGAGTTTTTGGTATGATGAAACATACCTTCTTCAGTGTCTGCCTGTACACATGAAATGACAGTGCTTTAGATGAAACACATATTCCATTAAATTTAAAAATTAATGGCTCATTCTGAATGGTATTGTAACGTGTTGGGTTACTTAATACGCCGTAGAGATTGTTAATTGGTTTATTTAACAACCTACAAATCTCGGCTACAATTACTTATAACAAAGTTGCGGGGTTTCACACTTTATAACCCTAATCGCAATGATCTGTTCACTTTATTGTGGGGTTTCACGATGTATAACCCTATTCGCAAATCAATTCACTCTGTTGTCAGTAATCTACACGTTTCACAGTACGGGAGCTATACAAGTGTCACTGTGTTACACACTCCCAATTAATTCTCGGTTATCACAAACTATCACTGATTTTCACACACGCATCCGTAACTCGTAACTTGTGAACTGAGAACTGTTGATCACACACTCTGACTCGTGGGCTTGCTCGGAACTAACTATGAATAGTCTTCGCTGCTCCATATCTAGCCTCGTTCCGGACAACTCAGAAAACAGCCATGTAATAGGCACCATTGTTGTCTGGTGCCGTGTTGCTAGCAACGCTGTCCGGAGTTGTTTACTGCTGCCTAGCAACCGCGGTACCCCTTGGTGACATCACCGCTGTTGACTCGCGTTGCATAGCTACCAGGATGCTGGGACTCAGCTCACTTCGGCTCCATTCGGCGCGTCAGCTTGGGGGGGGGGCATCCAGCTAGCGCGACACGTCACAGTATTGACCAAGTTCTGTGATATGTACATTCTTTATTGTTAGGGTCTTACCATTTTCTTTTTGTTAGAACTAATAACATTGCAGCTTTTGTTTTATGATATTCTTTAGGAGAGACTACTAAATAGAGGCTGGAATAGTAGTACAATTTAAACAAGACTTTCTTGGAAGAACTAATTGCCTACTTTGCTTTCACTGTAATATTAGTATCTGTTATGACAAGCAGAAAGAAAACTTTAGTATGTATGAGACAGTACATGAACTATTCAGAGACTTCAAGAAAGCCTTTGATTCAGTCAGGAGGGAAGTATTATACAATATTCTGTTAGAGTTTGGGGTACCCATGAAACTAGTTAGGCTGATTAAAATGTGCTTAAACAAAACGTATAGTACAGTCCGTATAGGTAAACATTTGTTTGATAATTTTCCTATCCAGAATGGTCTGAAACAAGGAGATACAAGGTTCAAATATGACCGGGACCGATTTTTTTTTAACCATAATTACCAAACACTTACTTGCACATGTCAGTCTTCTTCAACATACTCCCCTCCAGAGTCAATACATTTTTTCCAACGTTGTGGAAGCATCCTGATGCCCTTTTCAAAAAACACCTGTGGTTGGCGGCGTATCCACTCCCAAACAGTCTGGATGACGGAGTCGTCTGCAAACTGCATGCCTTACAAGTCTGATTTGAGCCTTCCAAACAGGTAGAAATCACTTGGGGCCAAATCGGGACTGTACAGCAAATGTGTCAGAAGGTTCCATTTCAAATTTCCAGAGGGTTTCCTTTGTTGTTTTAGCCGTATGGGGGCGTGCATTGTCTTGAAGGAAGGCTACCCGCTTTCCACCTGTCTTCGCTTGGATTGGATCTTTTCCTTCATGTCTTGCCAGGAGGTCTGAGTCGCAGAAAAACGTTACCATCACTTTTCCTGCCGAATGGCTCCTCCACACTTTCTTGGGTTTGGGAGAACTGATATGCCACCACTCGAGTGATGACTGCTGGGACTTGGAAAGGAAGTAGTGCACCCACGTTTCATTGGTGGTCACTATAGACTTCAAAAATGCATCACCTTCATCTTCAAACTGCTGTAGGAGATGACTGGCAACTTGCATGCGCACCATTTTGTTCACATCCGTCAAAGTGCATGGTACCCACCATGCATTCACTTTGCAATAGTGTAGGTGGTATTTGACGATGTCTTCTACACTACCAACACTGATGAACAGCATTGCTCCAAGTTCCTTGATAGTGATGCGCCTATTCTCAGGAATAAGCGCGTCTGCACAATCAATGTTTCGCTCGGTGACGGATGTTTGCGGCTGACGATCATGCGGTTCATTCTCCACGCGCTCTCTGCCCTCTCTGAAGCAATTACACCACTCAAACACACGGGTCCATGAGAGACACTCTTCCCCATACTGTTGTTGGAGTCTGTGGTGAATTTCAGTGGGTGGGACGTTTTCTCCAACGAGGAATTTGATCACAATGCATTGTTCCACGCTCTGCGGTACCTTCTGTTCGCTCATCATTCTAGCAACTCCCAGACAGGACTGAACAGGAGGGAGGATAGAGGTTGTGGCTTCACTTTCTCAAGGTCGCACAGCTGCTGCGCAGTGCAGCTTGATTACACACAAATCAGTCCTGGTCATATTTGAACCACCTTGTACTTATTGCCACTGCTTTGCAAGTATGCTTTAAAATATGCCATTAGGAAGGTCCAGGAGAGCCAAGTGGGACTGAAATTAAATGGGACACATCAGCTGCTGGTCTATGCTGCTGATGTAAATCTACTGGGCGATAATATAGATACCACAAAGAAAAACCCAGAAACTTTAACTGACTTCAGTAAGGAGGTTGGTATAGAAGTAAACACAGAAAAAGCGAAGTATATGGTGCTGTCTCATCATCAGAATGCAGGGAAAAATCATGACATAAAGATAGGTAACAGATGTTTTGAAAATGTGACACAGTTCAGATATTTGGGAACGACAATAACAAATGAAAACCTGATTGAGGAGGAAATTAAGAGGAGATTGAACTCGAGTAATGCTTGCTACCATTCAGTCCAGAACCTTTTGTCTTCCTGTCTGGTGTCCAAAAACATAAACATTAGAATATATAAAACTATAATTTTTTCTGGACGAAACTTGGACTCGCTCATACGAACCGCACTTGAAGCGACAATCAAATGAACGGAAGCATCCTGACTCTCCTTGTCCAAAGAACGTGTGCTCTGCACAGAGTAATGTGAAGGCGATGTTCATTGTGGCATATGACATTGCTGGAGTGATACTGCACCACACTATACTTCAACAACAGACAGTAAATGCTGCCTACTACTACAGTTTCCTACGTAAACATCTTCATCCAGCACTCAGGAGAAAGTGACGACACTTGTTGGCAACACACCCCATCATCCTTCATGACAATGCAAGGGCTCATACTGCTGATGCTGTCAAGGATCTCCTTTGCCCCTTGCGATGGGAGATACTGCAACATCTGCAATACTCACCCAATATGAGTCCATGTGATTATGATCGCTTTGCCAAAATGAAAGAACCACTGCAAGGGACACGTTACAACATAAGATAGGATATTATTCATGCTGTAGGGCGGTCACTGCAAACAGAAGTGGACACGCTGATGGTGTATGACGCCTTCCACAAATTTTGCAGAAGGTGGTACACATGGGGGGGCAATTATATTGAAGGAATGTAAGTGTGTTTACCTCAAGTAATAAAGTCATTTCAGAACTATAGAGGTGTTGCCACTACTTTTTATCTGACCTTTGTATGTGGATCCGTATATTCTTGACCTCATCACTAGTTGTAGGTGAGAGGTCAGATTCATGTCCTGGCCGCTTTACCCCTGGGGAAAGAGCCACTGGTACCCATTAGACAGGAGGCTGGGTGCAAGTCACTATACTGACTACACCATCCTGGCTTGAGTAGCATAAGAAAATCATGAGGAGTAACATTCTCCTACACCCCCCATTAGGCAGTCCCCTGAGACACACATAAAAGAAGTTCTAACTGTAACAGGTGAAAGATTTTTTACAGATTTCCAGGTTAACCATGGAAGCCTATATATCAGATATATTTCTTTGAATTGCAGAAATATGTATGTTCACAATCAAAGAGTGAACTCAGAACAAAACGAGAATGTAACCATCTGGTGATAGCAGAACTTCAGAAGTTGGCCAATGCTTTCCATAGCACTGGTGACCAGTGGTGGGCTTATGGCTATTAGAAAGCCATAAGTGCCATCAAAGCTTATGGATTAGAAATAAAAAGCTATGAGGTAAGTGCTTTGCAGTGGTGTTATGTCTGCTTCTTGGCCAACAAAATTGATCTGTTTCTGAAGAGTATAATTTTAAAATTCTCTTTGTTGAAATGTACTTTTTTTTACACATTTGTGTTTCCTAAACGTATTCGTATATTTTGAGCCAGAATGTGTGGAACTTATGCAACTTCCTTAAAGTATGTAATCTGTGAAATTTTAGGTGAGTGATTTCATACCTAGCAAAATGTTTATCTCGTGTGGAGGTGCAAAATGTTTTTGATTTCTCCATACGCTTGATCTAATCGTAATGTTAGGCATCATCATGAAAATGATTCAGTCATTGCTCCTGTGTTAACATTTATTTGTGCCCCTCATGTCTTGAAACAATCCCATTGGAACTTTATTAGCCTACTTGTGTTTTAAGGAAAGGGTGGCGTATGGTATCATCGTGTTCATGTGATCCTCCTGCCACAATAACTTTAGATCAGCATGCATATTGTCGTGTTTCAGTGACTAGACATGGGGTTTGGATTGCTAATTGGATTTACTAGACTCCTATAACTCAGTAACTACAAATAGTTATAACAATGTTATTATAGACACTTAACAAATCACTACAGCATGCTCTTAAGTCTCAGTGTGTTATGTCTTCACTGGTCATTGCTTGGTTACCATCTTTACTGCGTGTCACTAGGTTACAGCTGCTAACCATGGCGGTTCTTCATGGCCAGTCACAAACTGTCATTTCTTGCTTAACAGTCCATGAACTGCACTCACCAAATGCCTAGCCATGACTGCCAACTTCAACTGCAATTCATGGCATCACTAGCCATCACTAACTACTCACTGTCTGTCACTGGCTATCAGCTGCTGCTAATGGCAATTGGCATAGTTCAAGTTAAAGTCAAAGTTATGTTATGACTAGGGACCGGATTTTAATGCAAATGCATATTTCTTTCTTGCAACCAGAAAGTATGCTCGTTTGGATATATGTATGAATTACTTCATTTCTTAAATTTTGGACATGGTTTGATGGTGCATATAAAAGCATATTTAGCCTGTTTTATGAATAAGCATCATATTTTCGAAGATCTCTATTTATACTGCATATTTCCTTTTTAAAATGTTTATCATATATATTTTTTAATTTTATATTCAAATTTTCTGTCATGGTCGTGTGTATACAATTTTTCCTTTCCGTATTAGAGTATGTTGCATATTTGACTCAACATTTCGTCATGATTCATGTTTCTGATGCAGTACCCGGACGGGACTTCCCTGATCCCTCCACTCGTAACTTGCCTCATCCGCGTACCATCAAAGTGGCCGCAAAGAGATTAGTCTGAAGCGTTCACATGTAGCCACTATCAACGTGATACTATTCAACCAATAAGGGACTTCACTTATTTATTTCCGAAGTCTCTGTGAGGTTCGTTATGCTTCTTCTTTTGAAGCTGGGGACCATTCACATTAGTGGTGACTAGTCTGTAGTTAAGTTTGTTTAGCTTCTTGTAGTCATGCCGAAAGTGAAAGTAAGTCAGAAAACTGAATTACAGCTGTATCAGTGGGCGTTCAGAGGAGAGATGATAAGTATGGATAATGAAATTCTCTATTGCCAAGCGTGTGAGAAAACAGTTGGTTGTGAAAAACGCTTTCAAGTGCTTCAGCATTTGAACACTAATATACACAAAGAGAATATTAAAATTAAATCCACGAAAAGTGCTCCTGTTCAAAAATTTCTTAGAGAATTTTCTAATAACAGTTTTTCACAGTTTTCCTTTGATTTATGCAAAGCCTTTTTAGCGGCAGATATTCCGCTGTGGAAACTAACCAGTCCTGCTCTGAGAAACTTCATAGAGAAGTATACACAGTGCAAAGTGCCGGATGAATCTACTGTGCGCAAAAATTACGTGAAGCAGTGTTACAATCTTACAATTGAAAGCATTAGATATAAGATTCAAGATAATTTTGTGTGGGTATCAATCAGCAAAATACAATGTAAGATTTGAGGCTTTCACGGCGGTGACTATGAAGAAAGCAATCTTCTGGGATTTGGCACCGTGTATATGTGGTGTTAACCAACGTTTCAGAGGAACGTATCGCCTCCGTCTTCAGGGTAGAAGGTGATGGAGGCTATACGTTCCTCTGAAACGTCGGTTAACACCACATATACACGGTGCTAAATCCCAGAAGAGTGCTTTCTTCAACAAAACACAAGATTGTGAGGGACGGTTTATTGCAAATTGTATAGTTTGATCCCTTAATAAGTACAGTCTACCCCATACAGAAAAGAAGCCTTTAAAGCAGTAGCACTGGGCGTTCCATTTCCGCCAGAATCAATTTTAACGCCCTGGGGCACGTGGCTGTGTGCAGGGAGTTATACCGAACATTTAGAAACAGTTAGGAATGTTGTGAATACATTTGATCCCAAATGCGCAGCATCAATTCAGATTGCCCAAGATGTACTACAAAATGCAGCACTAGAAACTAATCTTTCCTATATACGAGTATCTGCTCACTTCTCTCATCTTCCATCCTCCGTTTCCTCACTGGAGGCAAGCAATAGCAATACTATGAAGAAAGGAGTCTTCTGGGATTTGGCACCGTGTATATTTGTATTTAAGTATAGCTTTTTATTGCAAGTGAATCATTCGGTGATTACATAAAATGAACTTAAATATTGATTTTTTGGTCTTAAAATAATGTAAAATCAATTTTATTATTTGGTATAAATTTTATATGCAAATTTAATGCATATTTCGGAAGTTTTTCATGCATAAATGCATACATATTTAAGGGATTATCAGGGCATAAAAATCCGGTCCATAGTCATAACCGATGGTCATTTGGCCAGTCTGTCTTGGTTTCAAGCCCCATCTGGTGCCCAAGACCTGATTATTGTTACCATCAAGCAGTTGCGAGTTTTTTGATGTTGGGCGCACTCTCTGATGAGATGAGTTGCCTCAGTGGCTCTCACCGTATACCATCACCATAGGTTACATAGAAAACACAACAAGTGCCTCACTTCTGGTGGTGACTACATTAAGAAGTAGCTTAAGTACTTGTGGCATGTAGACTTGTTGCTAAGTAATGACTGTAAACAACGCCCACTGCTAGGCAACAGATTGCTAACAAGCAAAAATTGAACAGCAACAGAGGAATGGTGTTCTCTGTGTGGTCCATTCCAAGATGTTATAACCAGGACATTTAGTGAGTGAGTACATGCAGTGCAGGGAAATGAAGAACTGATTGGTGAGTTAGTGAGTTAATCAGAGAACTGCAATTCAGTCATTGTGAGCTGTTGCAGTTATAAGCTGGTAGCTGAGGCACAGGGGTCGTTTGGGAACCTGGAGTAAGGGCAATGTCCGCCATTGGGAGCTGTTACTGGGAAACAACTAATGGAGAGTCTAATAGACTGAGAACACTAGTGTGTGTGTAACAGTGAAGTGTAAAGTGTAGTCATGAGTCATGCATTAAAATGTGCAATAAATGAAATCACCAATCCAGACCTCATCTATAGTCATACACACATGCAACAATATTTACGTATTTTTTGTATAATAAGTTTTTTCTCATTGCTTGCTTTGGCAACAGCTCACCAGAGGTTACGTTCCGAATAGCCTTTGTATAAGTTCTTCCTGGACTTTCTTGTTTATCTTATCTCCCTCTTTATAAGGAATTGTGGATTAATGGTATTATCTTGTTTGTGTATCTGCCCTGCCCACTGACTTTTCTAACCAGCTGTTAAATTTTAATTAGAGTTTGTATGAACAGTATGGCACTTGAGGCCACTGCTCCTTTGTGTTTTTAAATTAGTTGATTTAAAATTTATTTAGGAAGCAATAGCAATACCTGGTGTGGGCCCAAAAATAGCAGCCAAGGTGTCCGAGTTGTTAGCATCAGGACAACTTCGTAAGGTTGATGAGATATGTGGCAGTGAGAGAAGTCAAGTGATGGAGTCCTTCACCAAAGTATGGGGTGCTGGCCCAGCCACTGCACAGAGCTGGTTCGAACAGGTGAGCTGATATACGTTTAGACAGTGGGTCAGTGATATTGTTTATTGTGTTTTGGCATCAAGGCACCATGCAGAAGTAGGCAATATTGCCAACATTTTTGGAGAACTTTATTGTCTCCATCTTCAAGGTGAAATGACTGCCAAGTGATTATGTCCACATAGTGCAGTCACCCAAAAAGAGGGTTGAGATGATGCAACACACAACAGGATGCACACTGTGAAGAAGAGATGATGTAATGCTGTAATGTATAACTTCAGGTACAGTGTTCAGTGTCATCATGTGTTGTTGCTTTTACAATGATATGACACACATTGCAAGACCATCTTTATGGTGAGCGTGAGGTAGAAGGGAGAAGTGGACCAATATATATGTCTCATGATGGGGATGGAGCATGGTGGTATTCTTCATTCTTGCACTAACCTTGAAGATAGTGACCACAGAACTAACTAACTTCATGGAGCTGAGCCCTTCTTGAGAAGCCAGCAGTTGTGCAGCTACTCAAGAACTTCCAAATATTTTATGGAACCTAAAGATTCATTAATGTGTTCAAAAGAGCCCTCAACTGTTTTAGTTATACTTGGTGAAGAGTACAAGTTATGAAGCTGCTAATTATGCAGTTTTCTCCAGCTTCCTGTCACTTCATCTCCCTTTGGTCCAAATATTCTCCTCAGCGCCCTATTCTCAAATACCTTCAGTCTGTGTTCCTCCCTTAATGTCAGAGACCAATTTTTGCACACATACAGAACCAGAGACAAAATTATAGTTTTGTATATTTCATTTTTACGTTTTTAGACAACAGATGAGAAAACAAAAGATTCTGGACTGAATGGTAGCAAGCATTACTCCAATTCAAGCTTATTCTAATTTCCTCTTGAATCAAATTTTCATTTATTACTGCCATTCCAAAATATTTGAACTGTGACATGTTTTCAAAGTATCTTTACATTAAGATTTTGCCCTACATTCTGATGAAGAGACAACAACATATACTTAGTTTTCTCTGCATTTAGTTCTAGACCAACCTCCCTAATAGAGTAAGTCAGAGATTCTGTGTCTTTCTTTATGGTTTCTGTGTTATCTCCCAGTAGATTTACATCATCAGCGGAGACCAGCAGCTGATATGTCACATGTAATTTCAGTCCCACCTGGTTTTCCTGAACTTTCACAAAGACATATTCTAAAGCAAACTTAAAAACTATGATGATAAAGCATCTCCTTGTGTTAGACCATTTTGGATAGGAAAATTACCAGACAAATGTTTACCTATACAAACTTTACTATACCTTTCATTTAAACACATTTTAATTAGTCTAACTAGTTTCACAAGTACCCCAAACCCTGTGAGTAAACACTCATATTCTAGATACACAACACAACAGGAAGAGCCACCTAGCACCATGGAATACACAAGTGTATAGATGGGACTACACATCAAATATTAGAACCATAAAACGGAAGAACAGCAGTTTTCACCAACAATTTTAAACACTGATGGTTACCATTGTCAGTCAGAACATGTAGTCCAGTGTACAGCAACTTAAACAAGGTTTTAAAAAGATGCATTGTGTGATATAAGGTACTTTTAAATCAGTTTTAGAAGGACGTGTTGCATGTAAAATGTTGAATCAGTGACATTTGTTGAATAAAATTGTACAGTACTTCCCTCCTGACTGAATCAGGCTTTCATGATGTCTATGAATAGCAGATGTACTGTCTCATTGTACTTTAGTTTTTTCTACCGTATCTTACGAATGCAAAAAATCATAACAGTAGCTCATCTGTTAAGTTGAAACCACATGCATGATCCCCAATAATTCCATTTATATATGGACTTAACCTTCAGAGAAGCATACTGGATACAATTTTGTATGCAGTTAATGAGAGTGATATCCCATGATACTACAGTCAGTTTTATCACCCTTCTTTTACACTGGTATAATAATGAACTCCTACCACTGATCAGGCAATTCTTTCTTACTCCAAATAGAATGACTACGCTGGTGAGGGTTAGCAGCAGTTGTTAATAAGAGACCTGTCCTCTCATCAGAGAGGGCACCACACATCAACAAACCTCCAACTGTCTGACAGTAACAAAATTCTGACCTACAGCCTTAAATTGGGCTTGACACCAAGACAAACTGGCTCACTGGCAGTCAGTCATAACATAACTTTGACTTGAAACAGCAGACCTGTCCTATCATCAGAGAGGGCACCCCATATCAACAAACCTGCATCTGTCTGACAGTAACAAAAGTCTGATCTTGGGCCCCAGCTGAGGCTTGACACCAGGAGAGACTGACTGTCAGTCATAACATAACCTTGACTTTGACTTTGCTGCACCATTCATTCTGAGGGACAGTCACCATCCAGTAAGGACATGAACGTAGGAGCTGGGGAATCTACAGTGTTAGGAGCCATTACCGAGCAATGACTGGTGATGACAGCAGACTGAGAAAAGTTACTGTGTGTTGCAGTGAATTGTAGATTGCATGAATTCATCATAGCAATATAGTTAATTGTAGTTACATTTTGTCACTCACCTTGAACTAGTACTGAGGTCAAGAAAATGTGGATCTATACAGCTTCTCCCTCATACGCCTTCATGGGGTAGTGCTTAATTGGTTAAGAACAGGGCAACTCTACCTTCAGGAGTCTAGTACATCTGATCACCAGTCCAAACCCCTTGTCTAGTAACTAACGCATGACAGTGTCATTAATGACTGGAACAAACTTAATTGCAGGGCTTCCGAACACTTGAGGACTTGAAAGCCAAAGCTAACTTAACAAAGCAGCAGAAAATTGGGCTAAAACATTTTGATGACATTCAAGTTAGAATGCCAAGAGAAGAAGTGGAGAAGATTGCGGCCATGGTATGTACAACAGGCATGAAAATATCTTTGCATATTCTTAACCACTGGATTACATATGTGAGAGTTAGGTGTGATATTTACGAATCCCTTCTGGGGAACATTCAGTGACATTTGGCCAAATGTTAAACAAACCCATCTTATTTTCCAGATTGAAAAATATGCATTATCTATTGAGCCAAGGCTGAAAGTTGAGTTATGTGGCTCATATCGCAGGGGCAATACAAGTTGTGGTGATGTTGATATCTTAATAACCAGGCCAGATAATATTTTTACAGATATCCTGTCATGCCTGACTGCACAACTGAAAGAATCAGGTACTGCTTATTAGTATGAGAGCCATTCAAAAGTAAACTTCAGTTAGCTGTTATCAAAACAAGCTATGAGGAAAAAAATTGATTATATACAAAAAATATGTACATACTTAAGCTGCTTCTCAATGTAGTTACTGCTGGAAGTGAGGCACTTGTCATATCGGAGAATACATTTTTGTATGCATGTGTCAAAGAAGTCTGCTGCTTGTGACCTCAGACATATTTTGAAGCTTTCCATCAAGTGCTCATTACTGTTGAAGTGCTGCGATCCCAACCAATTGTTCAGATAGGTAAACAGGTGGTAGTTGCTCAGAGCAAGATCAGGGCTGTAAGGAAGGTAGTCAGACAACTCCCAGTTGAAATGCTCCAGCAGTGGTCAAATGTGACCACAAACACACATTATCATGGAGGAGCACTGCAACAGATTTCATCATTCCACTCTTTTTGTTGTGAATTTTATTAGTGTTTCCCTTTTGCAAGAATTCCAACATTGGCACTGCTTGCTGTCCTATTAAACAGTTGCCATCAGCTTTCCAGCAAGCAGAGTTTGTTTAAACTTTCTCGGCTTGTTTGGTGAATGTGTGTGCATCTACTGCTGTAGCTGCTCATTGGTTTCAACATTCACAAATGAAACACAGGTTTCATCACCTGATACTCATATAATGTGACTGAGAAATTCATTGCCATCTTTGTGGTATCACTCTATAAAAGTCAAAACCAAAGCCATTTTCTGCATTTTGTATGCACTCATGAGCATTTTTGGAATACATTTTGAGCAAAACTATTGATGATAGCCTAGCCTAACTGTGATGGACTGTTAGAGAACAGTGTGTGAAATTTGTGGAAAGTCACACAAAAGTTCTGAAATCATGAAGCACCATCTTTCACAAATTTTTTGATCAATGCTTGGAACAAGATCACTCACTACAGATGGCTGACCACTTTGCTCTTCATCATGAACACCTGTTCACCCATCTCTGAACATTCTACACCACTGTCTTACAGTTCCTTTGCTCATTACATTTTGGCCGTAAACCACGCACAATTCACAATTCAAAATTTATTTCCACAGCATTCATGTTTTTAGCATGAAGAAGTGAATAAGAGCATGAATTTTATAGCTGGAAGGATTATCAATCACAGGACACATAACTCACTCTATAGAGATAAGAACAAACATTAGGTGACAAGTTATATGATGGTTTACAAGGCAATGAGTTGTGACACTACCTTATATGAGGGGCAATCCAAAAGTTTCCGAAATTTGAATTTTGCACACGAATGGTTAGGAGTTCATCAAAATACCGCTAGGTATCTCCTCACACATCCTTCTTGAATCAGTGTGGCAAGCGGTGTTGAGTTGAGTGGTTGGGTTTATTGTTGGTGAACGTATTTCCATTGTTGTGTTTCCGTGAGTTTGCGGTTTTGCGATGACCTGAGAGAGCAGCGTGTCTGTATAAAGTTTTGTTTCAAACTTGGGAAAACCGCTGCAGAAACGCACCAAATGTTGAAGCAAGCTTTTGGTGAAAACAGTTTAGGCCAGACACAAACTTACAACTGGTATAAGCATTTTAAAAATGGCCGAACATTGACTGATGATGACGATCGTTTGGGACGGCCGCCAACGGTCAAAACACCAGAAAATGTCGCGAAAGTTAGGGATCTGATTCTGCAAGATCATAGACTGACCATCCAAGACCTCTATAACACCTTGGGACTAAGTTATGTTACATGTCAACGAATTTTGTCAGAGGAACTGAACATGAGGACG